ATGCACACATACACATAATATGAAAGAGGATCACTTGTATTCCTTGGACATGTACTTTCAATTCCCCTAGGATAAAAACTAGGCATCTAGTTAACCTGGGGTAGATTTTTTTGAGAAAATGTTGACATCCTCAAGGACAGGGGCGACTGGACCTGTCTTACAAGTCTGCACTGCTTTTAGCGGGCTGTCTTTGAGCCTGGAGACGCTCTGCTGCCCTTCCCAGCCACCCGCACGGTGACCCCGTCCCCTTGTTTCACCCTCCGTGCGCTCCGCTGCGCTGTCCGTGCTCCTCGTTTGGAGGGGTCACGGCGGACTTTCCCACCCCAGAGGCTGCCGGGCGGGGGCTCAGGGCGGTGGGTTGGATGCTCCACCCATGGGCTGGGCCTCCCGTATCAGCCCGCTTAGCCTGGTAACTGGTGCCCGCTGTCCCTGCCCGGAGGACGCCGGGGACATGAGTGAGGAATATTGGGGCAGGAGACACCCCACCTCCCGAGTTTGCAGTAGGTTTTCTTCAGCAGACACGAAATGGGGCAAATCGCAGCTGACCGGTCAAAGCACCGGGCGGCGAGCAGAATCACGCAGCGACAAGGATTGCATCGTGTAATTCATCCAGCCGTACCACGTAACACCTCGACGGCATGACTTCTTCGGGCTTGTCCCCTAAAGCATCTCTACCTGTCCATCACCATCAGCACCTCCCCTGAGTGACTTCCCAGCAGCAAAAACAGAGATTCAACAGCACACATTAAGCAAAAAAAAAAAAAAAAAACCAAAACCAAAAGCTTTAAAACGAGTTCCAGAAATAAATACAAGCATGTAATGCCACCCGATCTTCAGTCTTGGGAAGCCACAAGCACCTACGGGAATCTGTAATCCAGAACAAGAACAGAATATGGGTGAGTGTTAACAGCACGACGTCCGGGTGGCTTTGCAACCCTCGGAGCAGGGAAGGGAAACAAATTATCTACCTCTTTCTCTGCAAATGCATTCATAACCTGTCATTTTACAGTGTAGAAAGTGCAATAATTTTTTTTTTTTTTTTTTTCTTTAGAAGGTGTGGACTTCGAGGGTTTTTTTCCTAGCTGCTGCATCCAAAGCATCCAAAGCAGAAGTCACTAAGATGTCATCAGGAACGAGGGGAATTCTTTAGCATTTGATCTGGGACAAGATTCATATCTTAGGTAAGGTCTGTTTATGTGACAGACCTTCTGAGTAAATAATTCAGGGTAAAATCATACACTTAAAATACTAAAATATAGCAGTCTGCGAGAAGCTTTGGATGATAAGCACACTCTTAGATGCTGTCCTGTTTAAGAGCCTCTGTCCAAACACAGAGAAGGTGAAAGAAATTCCTATTTTTGTAGACGGAAATCTGAAGAGAGCGACTGGACTCTGATCTCGCAGGCATTTAATTAGTCAACACATTACTTGACTGTTTAACATTAAGCAAATGTGGGTGCGTAATTACTGGGTTTCACAGTTCTGTCAGTCGCGCTCGCCCCTCTGTGCAGCGATAAGTGCAGTCAGCCACCTCATGTCAGCACACTAATGTCTCTTGTCTCAAGGCTGCCAATGGCATGTCCCTGACACCCACGCCAGCCTTGCCCGGGCTATTGGCTCCTGATCCCGTGCTGGCATGCTAACACTTGTCAGGGGTTTCTGTCATCCTTCTCGGGGGGACTGGGACAGGATTTACTACAACACAAGAATAGGGTTGCCACATAAGCAAACTAAATTTGTGTACAAGAAGAAATTCGTCAGCAGTACTGTTGCTGTCTTCTAGCGATTATTGTAGCTGGAAAAGCACACAGCTACAGAAATGGGCAGAACTGTTATGTTAATGTGGAGGCTGATTGTTCCGTTGGGGATTTTTTTTGGAGGGTTTTTTGGGTTTTTTTCAGAGACATTTCCAGATCCTCTGCATTAGCAAGTGTTATTTTGACCTCCTGGTTTTCCTGCCACCTGCCCTCTATGGACGAACCTTGAGCTGACTTTAATTCAGTATTTTGGCCTGAAATCTCTTTTGTCCCCATTAGGCCCACTTACTTTTGTATCCATATACTTCAGCAAGACAGAGAGAACACACACACACACACACGCGCACACACACACAAAGACCATCAAAACAAAAAACAAAACAAAACAAAAAACACACCAAAAAAAAACCCCAACCAACCAAAAAAAATAAACAAAAAATAAATGCACAAACAAACCAATCCACTCAGAAAAAAAAGACAACAAACCAAACTCTTCCAGCTGCAATGTGACACCAACGTAAGAGACTTGACTATGTTAAGAAGAATCGGAACTTTACTAGGGATTTACTTTTTAATGAGAAAGGGACAGAAAAACCCCCAAAACAAACAAAAGACAAAGACCTGAATACCTTTTGGGCTTTGGGGCATAAGTGATCTCCGTGAACTTCAGAGAGCACCCACCATTCCTGAGGAAGGGACTGGAAGGGGCTGCCCAGGTAATGCCGTTGTTTCGCTGGAGAAAGATTGGGTAAGGTTAGAGAAATTTAGCAGATGCCACCCTGTCTTTGTGGTTTACTTTTTGGAGTAAACCAGAACCGCGGTTTCCAGTGAGAGTATTGCCCTGTGTGCAGGGATCGGAGCGGCAGTGGCAGACCCCGACTGCCTGAAGAGTGCGGCCAGGAGCCAGGAGGTACCTCGGTCGCTGACACACACTTGAAGCCTTCTCCACAGCCCCCCGAGGCACGTAGCAACTGCTTTCGCCGCCTGACAGCGAGAACCTTGACTCGGAAAGCACTTGCCAAAAAAATATCGATCACTTTGGGGTTCTTCTTTTAATGTGCCTATTGTCATAGGCACTCATGGGGCGGGAGGGAGGTTTAACGCTTTCAAAAGGGCTACAGGATGTATTTGGGCGTCTGTCATTTAGAATCAGAAAGTCAAGATGCTTTGAGGAAAACAGGGCTTGGGCGGAGATTCAGAATATTTTGCTTCATGCATATTGGCAGTGCATAAATCTGCCACATTTCAGACATTTCTTTCCATTTCAGACATTTCAGACCGTTCTTCTCATAGGGAAAGACCGAAAAAAACCCAGAGCTACACATCTGGCTACATACAGGAAAAAAATGCTTCTTAGATGTGAGTCTGCAAAAGGATTGCTGGAAGATCTGCCACATCTTTACCACACACAGTTTGGCACACTCTTGTGGTGTGTTGGACTGCTGTGCTGGCCAACACTCTTACCAAAACCGGTGTATTTATTTCAATTTAGTGTAATTCCCTTCCGATATTATTACTAAAGAAAGAGAAGAAAAAGTGGAATTATTTGACCCTTCATTATGAACCACTTGCTATTTCAAGTCTGCTTCAGGCTCCCAGCTGTCTGACAAGTTGGGGTGAAGGACAGAAGAGGGGAGCAAAACCTGCATCTAAAGGAAAAATTGAAAGAAATGGTGACTGAAGTTATGAAAATCTTATTGCTGACTTATCTCCCAAGCCAGCCAAAGTGATTTTCCCATCATGTGCAAAAAAGGACAAAATTATTTTAATCCTATAGGTTTAAATATCATAGTAAAAGGAAAATTCAACCAAACAAGAAACCATCTCTCTTACACGTTTGTCTCCTGGGTTTACATATCTATGTTTTAAACATGTAATGTCTTTTTCCTAATTAAAGTATGAAGAAAACATATTATGTCCTTGTCCTGAAGTATCAGCTTTTTCAGAATCACATCATTTTTCTTGTGTACAGTTGGAAAAGGAGTAAAGGGAGTGACAGGATGGTCATAGAATAGAATTCAATAGAATGACAGTTCTATTTCTTAGAACTGAAGACTGTTTGGAATGTAGAATAGGAAGATTAAGAGACTAGAAGGTAGTCTTTTACGAAATATTAAGGGTGTGAATACGTTTTGATTCAGGACTCACTAATAGTACACAATTATTAAGTCGATTTTTGCCAACGAGACTGCTCTCAAATCTCATTGAGGCAGTTTGCATCTATTTTATCTTTCACGGGCACAAACATAAGTCTCTTTAACTGTTATTTGAAAACTGACCCAATTTAATTTCCCGTCCTCGTGGAAGACAGGTTAATCAGTGGGCAAGTCTGCCACTTCGGCCTCTGCTCCCTCCTCCCCGGTGCTCAGCTCTACAGCTTTATCTTAGGAAGCAAACGACCCAGATGACTGTTACCTCCTCCCCCCGATTTAAGCAATAGGAATAATTAATTTATCAGACCCAGCCCACAGCCGGACTCCGTACTAACATCTAAATGAAAAGGCCTTCCACCCCTGAGTTTAATTGCAGGGTGCCCATTTCTCAAACACTAAGATATTTGTCCAGACGTGATGACAGCGACCGAGGGAATTCTTTAGGAGAGAAAAGGTAAGATTCTGGGAGGTACGGGTGAAGGTGACGCTGTGGCAGGGTGCCGAGGGGGCTGCTCCCGGCCGGACTCCCCCTTTGGAGGCTCGTGTCGTAATTTTTCACCTACTTTGAATCCTGATTTACAGCTCTTCTGCTCCGGAGAGGAGATCTGATACACCGCCACCCCCGCCCCGGCGCAGCAAAGCAGCTATGGGGACACGAAAGCCATTCTCTCCCTGGAGAGAAGCGCTTAAACCAGCACTTATCCACCCGTCTCATCAATGGATCCATGCTTCCATTAGAAATGGACCAAAGCCTAATGTACTTCAGCAGGCGCTTTCGTAGACTTTTTACACTTCAAACATAAAATCGCCCCCTCCTTTTTTTTTTTTTTTAATTCAGTCATATTAAGTAGCTCTATAAGAAAGCACCTATAAAGCGGTAAAAAACCCCAAAAACCTAGAGCCTGGAGTAGGCAGTTACTGAAGGCTTAAAATTTTTCTCTGTAACTAGAGCAGAAGAGAGAAGATTACATGTACAGGAAGTGTGAGAAGACCCAATGCTCAGTGCAAAGGACACTTGAAAAAGTAGCCTAAAAGGCAGTAAAAATCCATTACAAAGGAGGATAAGAGCACTTGGAGGAGTTATAAGAAACCAGTTTTATTATTTTCCCTTTATTGTAAAAGTGCAAAATTAGCTGTACAAATCCATCATATAAAATCCAGCACTCAGTAAAACATACAAAAGCATAAGGATCTCTAACAAGACCTCAGAACTCATTCTCCGTGTGCCATTAGAATCATGATTCCACCGCAGGAGCAGTTTAACATGTCACTGTCGGACAGTGATGGGAAGACCCGCACCACCTGGACAGCGAGATGGCACACCACCTTTTAAACCTCGAGCAGGTCACGGATACCCTGTCAGTTCTCAAGATTCAAATAAATTACATAAATAGGAGAGAGGCCGGGCGCCTCCCTGCCAGTGTCCGTGCCGAGCCCCGGCGAGCCCCTCACAAGTCGGGGTAGCCGCAGTAGTAGACGGCGCTGCTGGCGTCCGACACGGCCGACGAGATGGGAGCCGCGCCCTCGGGCGACGACAGCGCGGCCGCGTCGTGGCCGCCGAAGGACAGCCCCAGCTCGGGCTTGCAGGCGAAGCGCAGGTACTGTTCGAACTCGGTGCGGTCCACCTCGCCCAGCAGCTCCTCCGGCGGCAGCTGCTCCAGCTGCTCCCGGCACGGCGCCGTCTCGGGCGGCGGCGACGGCTGCCCCACGGCCCCCGGCGGCGGCAGCGGCGGCGGGCCGCGCCCCGGGCCCGGCGGCTGGCACTGCCCGTAGTACGCGTGCAGCGGTGCCGGGCAGCCCAGCAGCGCCTGCAGCGACCCGCCCGCGCCCAGCGCCTCCCCGGGCGGCAGGTGCCGCCGCAGCGCCGCGCCCGACGGGCTCTCGGACGCCGCCGCCGGGTACTCGGCGGCCGCCGGGTGCGGGCCGTAGCCGTAGGGCATCAGCGCGCACTCCTCCTGCAGCCCCGCCGCGAAGAAGGGCGCCTCGCTCTCCGCCGCGTCCAGCGGCGACGGGTCCGGCGTCGGCAGGCTGTAGCCGTCGAACGCGGCGCCCAGCGGCGGGCACTCCCGGTAGTGGCCCGCGCCCGCCGCCGCCGCGTAGCCCTGCTCGCCGTACGCCAGTCCCAGGCCCTCCACGCACATCCTGCCGCCGCCGCCGCCGGCCACCTCGCTGCCCAGCCCGGGCCCCGCCGCCGCCGCCGCCTCGGCCAGGCCGTGCTGCAGGAAGCCGCTCTCCACCCGCTTCAGGCGCTTCACCTGCTTCCGCCGCCGCGGCCGGTACTTGTAGTTGGGGTGGTCCTGCATGTGCTGCACCCGCAGCCGCTCCGCCTCCTCCACGAACGGACGCTTCTCCGCCAGCGACAGCGCCTTCCACGATTTACCTGCGCCCAGCGACACCGTCAGACCGCCCGCTCGCCCATCGGCATCCGCGCCCGCTCCCGACAGCGCCGACACCGCCCGCAGCCCCAGCCCCGCCCGGGAGTGTGTGACCCTCGCTCTCCCTCGGACGCCGCCGCCACACCGGGACCCCGGCCCGAGGGCCCCCGGAGGACCCCCGCTCGCCACAGCCCCAGCCCGGACCCTGAGGCTGCCCCGGGCTCCTCGCTCTCGTGGATCCGCCCCGCGGGACACCGCGCTCACCCAGCATCTTGCTGAGCTCGGCGTTGTGCAGGTCCGGGTTCTGCTGCGCCAGCCGCTTGCGCTCGTCCTTCGCCCACACCATGAAAGCGTTCATGGGACGCCGGATCCGCGCCTCGCCCTTGCTCCGGCCGCCCGACGGCGCCGAGCCGCCCTTCGCCTTCGCCTCGCCCAGCGGGCTCAGCGACTCTGCCCACGGGCACACGGCCGGCATCATGATGGGCAGCGAGCACCGCCCCTGCACCTGGTCGTCGCTGCTGGCGTAGCCCGCATCGGGGCTGCTCATCTCGCGGCGGGACGAGAAGGGACGCGCTGCCGACCGCGGTCAAAGCCGGCAGCTCCGGCCAGCCCACGGGACGCTCTCGGCACTCGGGCCCCGCTCGCTGCTGCCGGAGCCGGCGCCCGGCCCGGCCCTATTTGAGCCGCGGCGCGGCCAATGGGGCGGCGGGGGCGGGCGCGCAGCCGGACGGAGCCGTGGCCCCCGCGGCGCTGCCCTGCGGGGCGGCCCCCGCGCCTCCTCCCGGCCCGGCCCGGCCCGGCGGCACCTGAGCGCATCACGGGCTCCGCCGTGGGCAGCGCTGCCCCCGCCCCCTCGGGACCCGCCCGGAGGCGGCTCGGGGCACCGGCAGCGCCTTCGTGAGCGGCAGCGGCTGCAGCCCTGCCCTCCGCAAGGGCAGCGCACACCGGCCCGCCGAGGCCGTGCGCGGATGGACGTCCTTGAGCGGAGCAGATACGAAACGGGAAAGGGACAGAGTAGTCAGAGCTGTGCCGAGATAGCCTGTAACACTCTGGGAGCCACAAGTGGCTTCTCCTGCAGGTGGATGTGGGACGTTGCTTGGGAACAATAAGACAATCATCTGTACCTCACACTTCGCCATGTACTGCTGCTACCTGAGTGTATTTCCTCTCTTAAACCCATGAAAGAGCTCAGCTCTCTGGACAGTAGGATGCTGAACCCAGAGTAAAGCCTATGATACATATCCTATCTCACTTTTTCATACCTCCTAATAAAGGTGTTCAGTATCTGTCAAACCCATGAATATTCCTTGTATGTTGTTGTTATTAATAAGTTGAACTTTGAAGTACGTATTGCTTGTGTCATTACGTTATCAGTATTTCTCTGATTTGCCCAAATAAATAAACTGTAATTACAAGCAGATGTTTGAAAAATGTCCATCGCTTCAGAATAAACAGAATTCTATCTCGGAACCATTTACGCTCTCTTTTGGCATACAAACTAATGTAGAATACGGCGTTTTCACAAAAGCTTTGGTTAATATTTGCATTGTTATGTGGTGCTATTAAATGCATCAATGCTTATTTGAGAAACCTCTCAGCTTTAAACTGAAGATCAAAGGGGTTTATTTTGTTAAGGACACCTTTGTTTGGGTTGCCACTTTGATCAAATAAACCAATATTGTAAGAATTCTCGCTGAAATTAAATGAATGAAGCCAGAATAACCATTAACGTATTCTAACACTGAATTTCCTGTTTCGCACAACGTAAAGCCTGCTCCTTTACACTTGACAGACAGGTATTTTAAAAAGATCTCAGTAGCTGACAGGAGCTGACAGGGACTAACATCGGTGAAGACAATTTTCGAGTCATTTCTACATTTGGTTTTCTGCTCCCCACTCTTTTTTAAAGGCTATAAACAAGCCATGCTTCCAGCATAATAGTCTGGCATGTTTATCTCTGTTGCAAGAAGCAGAAACTATTACCAAAAGACTGATATCTGCCTAAACCAAATCAAAAAGTTTTAATTTTCTTTTTCTCCGTTCAGACGCTCGCCCTAGTCCAACATAAAGGCAGCGATTCAAACGGCCCGGCTTTTTGTCCTTATGTTACATGCTGTAAAAAGCAGAGGAGGTGAAAACAATGATCCTATATATGTATGTGTTTAAATTAATTTCAAACTGGTATACAATAACACCGTTCCTGCAAAAACATTGCGCATTTAGAATTGATTATGAAATTAATTAACGGGGCTTGCAAAAGCCGAGCGTCAGACCACAATCTCTCAGGAATAAAGTGCTTTTTCACTCGTTTTTAGTCCAGCGCCTTTGAGACACTACCTTAAGGCGCACCTGGGCAAGGATGGTGTACTAATGGATTAAGTTTTATGGCTCAGGTTGTGACATTTCCCGACCCGACGTGCCGGGACTCAGAGCCCTCAATCCCAGGCCAGCTGCCCCGAGACAGGTCATGCACCGACGCACTGCCGATACCCAAAGAAAATTCTGAATTAAAGAGAATCAGAATCGTGTTTAAAGAAAACTCATGCGTGAGGAAAGCGTGTGTGTTTTTCCCTGCAGATAACAGAATCTGAGGGAACAAGCAACATGACTTCCAAGCAAAACAAAACCCAAGTAGGCATCGACACTTTGCTCTAAGGGAGCCGGTCCGTTTCCATTGATTCCCAGAGCAGCTCCCAGCTCACTCCGCGTTACTGACTCCGACAAGACTGACCAACTAGGACTTTAAACCGTAGGAGAGAGTATTACCTTTTTTAACCAGTTGATCTTGTTAAAACGCCAACATTTCCCTTTCATTCTAATTAGCAGAAACATTTTCGTGAGCCAAGGGAAAAAATCCGGCAGGGGCTTTTACTGAAAAAGTTCAGCGAGTAGAGGGACTGCTTGCAAATAAAGCTTGCAGCAATTTTTAGGGCTGTCACTTTCAGCAGAAAAGAAAATGTTTTTCTGTATAATAAACATGAGGTAATAAATTACAGTTGACTTTGTTTGGAAGATTTGTTGAAACCGTTTCTACAGCTCATTGATCTGGGATCAAAGAAAGAAAGGTGTGTTTTGAATCTAAGCCGAGAAAGTAAAAGCTCCCTGGTTTGTACAGAAAATGTTGGCAGTTTGTGACCCTTCGAGTGCCCCTGGCGTCATAGACAGATTATCTCCCTTCTTTTTTCTCTTTTTGTTTTGGCTGTTTGGATATTTTAGAATTTTAACTTTAAGACACACAGCACTGCGCTGCTTCTTAGTCCAGTCGCTCTCTGTGCTTACTTAGACTTCACTTCCCCGCGGCGTTTAACAGGGAGCTTCTTCTGACACCCCTGAAACCTTCGTGGTCGCACGACTCCTGGGGTCATTCGTTAACTTTCCCAACCTCACAATGCCACCGAGAGTTCATCCTTCTGATTTATTGACCTTTTAAACCCGCCTGTACACAGCGCGGGGGCGCGGAGTGGGGATCCTCCGGCGAGAGATGTGTTTCTATTTCAGGTCCATTACAGAATGCGGTGTTGGAAGTGGTGCTCCCAGCGTTATCAGAGCGGACCACAAATGCCACATGAAAAGCAGCAAACATCCGGAGGGTTTCCTGCAAATCGAGCAGTTTCCCAAGACAAGAGCCTTTTTTTTTTTTTTTTTTAAACGTGTATTTAAAGGCAACACACTTTGCCTCTTTAAAGAGATTCAAAATCACTAAATGAAGGCAGCCGAGCCAGACAGCGCTGCATAGTGCAAGAAATCTCCCCGAATGAAGACTTTTTGGGACTTTACGTTAGGAAAGTGAGTGTATTGCAAAGGCCCTGGTCAGGA